GATAAATAAATAAATAAATAAATAAATAAATAAATAAATAAATAAATAAATAAATAAATAAATAAATAAATAAATAAATGTTCCACCTTCTCAAAGCTAGGTTGTATTTCCCTTGGGTTCTCCATTCCAAAAGAAGCCCATTGAGGAGATCCCAAGAATGTCATAGCGATCAGATTTTTTTTTGGGGGGGGAGACCTTCTGTTTATCAAAAAAATAGATAGATAGATAGATAGATAGATAGATAGATAGATAGATAGATAGATAGATAGATAGATAGATAGATAGATAGATAGATAGATAGATAGATAGATAGATAGATAGATAGATAGATATAATACTAACATTATTTCCAGGCTATATCAGTGCATGTTTGTCAAGAAATAGGAATGTTGATTTAAAAAAAAAAAAAGCTTTCTTTTCTTTGGCTGGATGGGCGTACAGCAAGCATCAAAGACTACCACCTAGTGGGGACAGCTCAGAATCATTTTTTAAGGACACAACCAGCGCTGTCCGTGAGGTGTTCAAATTACAAAGGAAGAGAGTGTGTGGTTCCCTGTCTTTAGGGGGAGGAGGGCATAAAGCTACAACCTAAACAAAAGAAGATCATCTGGTTAAATACACATATCAGAAAATATGTGTTTTCCCCCCTATTCTAATCTGAAAAGAACGTACTCGGGCATCGTTGCACCCACCATATCTACCCTTCCAGGTGTACAATAATTAATTGCTACTCCTGCCCTCTGAAAATGCCCATGGCTGCAGAGACTGGCGAAATGTTAGGAAGAACAACCTTCAGAACACGGCCAAGGAGCCCGAAAAACCCACAACAGCCATTATGTTCAATAATTAGTTCCACAGCAGCCAGACACACTAAGACGTCTGTGTGAATAACCTGTTTACACATGGATGCCCCTTTCAGATGTTCTCACAGGCATGGGGTGTGTATGTGTGTGTGTGCGTGTGCATGTGTGTGTGCGTGCGTGCATGCGTTTGTGTGAAGCCTGTGGTGGATGACAGGGAGATCAACAACAGGACCACAGGTTATACACATTTTCATAAAAGTCTGAATAGAATTTGTGTAACACACAGCGGTATGTATCAAATTTTGGTGGAATCTACCCCAGCAATCCTCACACCAGTCCTGTTGCAATTGTTGCTGTTGTTGATCCTTAATAACATTCTTAGCCCATTCTGCTGAAGACCTCCAACGATTTATGAATCATTTTAGCAAGGCCTGCCAAGACTTTTGACTAACAATCAACCTGAAGAAAACACAAGTCATGGGCCAGGGCGTGGACTCACCTCTCTCTATTATCATTTCCACACAAGAATTGGAGGTTGTCCATGACTTTGTGTACCTTGGCTCAACGATCTCTGACACTCGCTCTCTCTAGATGTTGAACTGGATTAATGCATTGGCAAAGCAGCTGCCATGTTCTCTAGACTCACAAAGAGAGTATGGCTTAATAAGAAGCTGACAGCATATACCAAGACCCAGGTCTATAGAGCCTGTGTCCTGAGCACACTTCTGTACTGCAGTGAGCCCTGGACTCTTTGTGCACTGCAGGAGAGGAAGCTGAACACCTTCCATATGAGTTGTCTACGACGGTTTTTTGGTGTCACCTGGCAAGACAAAGTTCCAAATAGAGTAGTCCTAGAACGAAGTGGAATTTTTAGCATGTATACGCTACTGAAACAGCAATGCCTACGTGTGCTCGGGAATGTTCTGAGAATGGCTGACGGTCGGATTCCAAAAGTTCTGCTGTATGGGGAATTAGTGCAGGGAAAGCGCCCCAGAGGGAGACCACAGCTGTGATACAAGGACATCTGCAAGTGGGATCTGAAGGCCTTAGGAATGGACCTCAACAGATGGGAATCCTTGACATCTGAGCGTTCAGCCTAGAGGCAGGCAGTTGCATCATGGCCTCTCCTATTTTGAAGAGACACTTGCCCAGCAGGCCGAGGCAAAGAGGCAGTCCCGAAACCAGCAAAACCAAGGAGCTGGACAGGAGACAGACTGTATTTGTCTTCAGTATGGAAGGGATTGTCACTCTTGAAGTGGCCTTCTCAGCCACACTAGATGCCGTTGCAAGACCTCTATTCAGAGCACATTAGCATAAAGCATAGTCTCTCCAGACTGAAGGATGCCTAAAACTTATTGTCCTCATATGTGGACACTGAGGCTAAAAGAAGGGGGGAATGGCAGACACAAGACAAACTAATGGGTTCTTATCTGGGGTGAGATAGGAACCAGAAATTTCCTGTCACAATGCCTGCCAGTTCATAAGAACAGCCTACTAGAAGCAGCTAGTCATGGTAACTATGCATTAGTTCTAGTAGCCAGAGGACTAGGCAAACCCATGGTCTCACCCAGTGAATCTCTTGTGTTCTTCTCACTGTCCTCCCATACTTTCATCTGTATTGATCTGCAACAGAATTTAAATGTTCCTCCTCATTTCTGATATTCATCCAAGAGGCTCTACCACATCTGATTGGCATATCACAGCCTGAACCATCCATCTCTGCCAACCAGGGAATATGGTTTTTTACTGGCAATTAAGAAACCTCAATGAGTTTGACGAAAACTCATGGCACCCCAAAATGGAAAAAATGGCTGAAAAGAAAGGAAAATAATAATTGAAATTATGGAAGAACTAAAACAGTGGGTAACAGAGTGGCGATCACCCTGCTTTGGCTCGTGTAGGAGGTTGTTTGCAGGGATATGTCAATATCTTGCAGGATTTCGGTATCTAACCTGATAGACACCTTGAACATAGGGATACGTCAATATCTTGCAGGATTTTCGTATCTAACCTGATAGACACCTTGAACATAACACACCAGTCATATTAGTAATAGAATGAAGAAATGTTGGGGTAATTGACATTGCAAGTTCAGGGGATGCCAGAGTTCAAAATAAAGAACTGGAAAAACTAACGATCAAATCTGGCAATTGAAACATCTCGCTTGAGGATGAAACACACTTCGAATCTGGCAATTGAAACATCTTGCTTGTGGATGAAACACACTGCAGTCGTCCCCATAGTCATTGGGGTTTTGGGAACAATATCAAAAAATTTCACACAGTATTATAAGCAGTTGCAGACCTCAGAAATAGACCATCAGAGCTACAAAAACAGCAATATTAGAAACAGCATACATTGTACCAATATTTAACAGATACTTGTTTTTTTAGTTAAGTCTCATATCTGCTATATAATACCAGTCAATGTTTTTATAATTTTGATTGACCAGAACATTTGTTTCACCCCCACAGAGTTCAACAAGGTCGGTGTTTTTATAATTTTGATTGACCAGACCATTTGTTTCACCCCCACAGAGTTCAACAAGCAAGCAACCCTTTCCTCCCCGCCCCTGTCTGCTGTGTAATTCATCATACCTTGATAAGGTGCTGCTGTAGTTGTGGTTGAAGAAAAAAGCAGTTCAAGTGAACGTGTTTGACCATCGGTGCTGTATCAACAACTCTTCAACACATCCCTTGCTGACGGTCTGTCCCTCTGAGCTTCTTCTCTGCAATCTTTGTCGTTCAATGGAGGATGAAGAAGGCTACACCACCCTGTACCTCCGGTCTAAGAGGGATACTTCTAGACGGGCCACTCCAGCTAGGAAGCAAGGTATTCTTCTAAAGACCTTTATCTTTTCCAGCTTCTCTCCGATCACGCAGCAGATTTCAGATGACAAATAGCTGCACAATTTGTTGTTGCTGCTGCTTCAGATCCATAGTGATGGTGCAAAGTACCACTGTATGAGGATGGGAAGAAAATGCATAACACTAAATGGAACATATTTTTAAAATGTGGGGGAGAACAATCGAAATCAAAAGGCACAGAGAAGGCTTAACACTGTGGTGGAGAAAGCAAGAATAAAAACCTGTGTCCTATAAGTGGAAATGGTAATAAGGGGGAGCACTTTTGTCTAGCAATTGTATAAAACAAAATCATTTGCTTTGATCTAGATCTTGTGATACTTGAAGCTGAGCCATTACAAATCGTTGGGTTTCAGTGAGGCCAAATGAAGTTTTAATGGTCTGCTCTACTGTAAAAAGTTTGATTCAACCAATCTCTTTCTTTGCCTTGTTTTTAAAGATAACTCTTGGCAACACAATTCAAGACTGAAAATAGGCAAAATGGCAACCTAAATAGAAAAAGATTGTATCTGAACTAACGGTCCTAATTTTTAAAAATCAAGAGCAAAAATACTCAAACATATATGCAGCTGATCATGTGTAAAAGGAAAACTTCTGCAATCTGTTCTGATAGTTGCGGGTCTGACTTATGTGCAGAAAAATGCTCAGACATAGCTTTGGCTGTGTGTATTTATCAGTAAGAAAGGTTATGTTTCAGACCTCAGAAAGGCTGTTGCTTAGGTGAAAGGAACAAGAGATGTTACACAGTCTGTTTCATGAAATATGGCATTTACTACGTCTCTATAAAGAAGTCTTTACTTGTGGGGTCTGCATATTTTACAATTCATCTTTGGTTGTGATAAACTTATTTAATATACATTGCCATTAACTTCTACCCGTGTCACTCGCGCGAGCCAGGAGGTGAGGCTGAGGAGCCTAACGCCGAGGGAGGCCCGGAAGGAAAAGACAAGAAATTGGGCCTTCTTGGAGGTGGCTCCTC